CGGTTTCTGGGCAGAAATTTGTGAAATTCATTAAAAATCGTACACTTGGAGTTTTGAGCTGAAACTTGGAGGAACATGTTATTTTGTGATGTTTTATGTTGTGTTAAACTTTTGGACTGAAACTCGAAGTGTAGCCATGTGAACCAGTAAAGGCCAATTTTGACGCTGTTTTTGCTTAAATTATTTAAAAATGCTACCGGATGAATTTATGGTTGAAACTTGGTGAGTTTATGTGTTTTTGTATGCTTTATAATGTGGTAAAGTTTCAGGTTGATTGACTGAGCCTAACTCCTAATTCTGAATTTGGTTTATTTTGGAGTCTTAATGCTCGGTTATCGGTTGTTTAGGTTAGGATTGAATTTTATAAATGTTGACATGACTTATGTGTATTATATGAAGTATTTGAGTTGTGTCCAGGTCTGGTAGTCACTCCATAGTACCTAACTCAGTCAAGGAATCCACGAGTCACTTAGTCGATATGATGTCGGCTAAGTATATGTGCCTTGTGTTGTTTTGTATTGGACAGTCAGTGATAGGTCATTATAAATTGTTGTAGGTCCTTCGAGCTGAACTTGTGCCATAATTTCTTCAACTCTGTGTTTGGCTATACCTCTTGCTACATCCAGGTGGGTTTTATTTGAAAAGTTTCTATGCATTAATTAATTGTTATTGTTGTGGTATGATCAAAGTATGCATGTGAACCATGTAGCCTTCGATGTGAGCTATATTGGCCGTCGAACGGTTATCCCCGTAGCTATAGAACGTACTCGATGGGGTGTCTCCTTTATTTATGTATGGCAGTCAGGGGCATTCGGGGTGGATTTACTCCCATTGTCTGGGCATCGAATGTAAGGCCCGCGGGGGTTTTCGATATGTGTATCAGCAGTGGTCTATTGGTATAGGTGTGCACATGAGAGTTGACTCTGGGAAGGAGATGGGATATTAATTGAGTTATGTTCATACTGCGACCATACCTGCTTATTTTATGAAATTGAATATTAATTATTGCATAGTGGTGAGCACCTCGATTTTCTATTGTGCTCATCCCCACCTGCTCTTCATGGATGCAGGTTAGTTATGCGGGCACGACAGAGGGAGGCGAGTGGTGGTCATTTTAATGATTGTTTCTGTTGTTTGAACTGCTAGTATTATTTATGCACTTCTGATATACATTGGATTTCGGATTATGGATAGGGAGTGTACTCCCTAGTATTTATGGATTTGATGAATCCAGTTTTGGGAGTTGATGTCAATTATTGAACCCGGTTTGGGTGTTGACTAATTATGATTATTGAACCCGGTGTGGGTGTTGACTATTTATGATTATTGAACTCGTTGGGAGTTGCATATATGACATGGTTGAAATGGTTTTTGAAAATAGGTAGCGCCTCAAGTATTTTGAAATAAATTTTTTTAAAAGAAAAAAAAAAATCAGAATTTCGGCAAATAAAAGTGGGGCGTTACAAGGGCCCTGCTCGTAAACTCCTTATCAACCCTCTAGCCTTCACCTCGTCAGCAGCCGTGGGGATCTCCAAACAAGTTTGATTATATCGAGCCACATACTTGCGCAACGACTCCTTCTCCCCTTGCCTCATGGCCATCAAAGTCAAATACGTCTTCTCCTGTGCCACAGCGCTCGCATACTAGGTCATCATTTTCTCCGCAAAATCGTCGAAATCCCTGATCGATCCATGAGGGAGCTGCTGAAACCAGTCGAGCGCACCTCCTCTCAAGGTCGACAAGAACGCCCTGCAACTAACAGAATAGAATAACCATGTAACATAGCTAAGTTCTCAAACGCCCTTACATGCCTCGATGGGTCAGAAGTCCCATCGAACACCAAGCTCATGTCCCTGAAATTCGCGGGTAACGGTGTAGCCAATATTTCCCTCGAGAACGGGTGTCCTCGAGCACGCCTCTCAGGTCGACCATCTATCTTGGCCTGCATCTGTCTCACCTGCTCCGCGAGTCTTTCCACCTCTCTATCTCGCGGAGCTCCATCTCCTCCATAGCTGGATACATCCTCCTCCACCATCGTCGGCCCAGCAAGTACTCGAGAAAGGCTTTGGGTGACCTGCTGGACCGCTTGTGCCACCGTGTTGGCCATCATCTGCTGCATCTCCAGCCTAGTCATCACCACCTGCTGGCCGAGGCGCTGCCCCTCCACCCGCGGCGGTGATGCTTTCTGCACCACCGCTCCTTGCAGCGGCGTCACGGCCAGATCTTGCTGCAACGGCGTTGGGATCACCGCTCCCTGAGTTATACAAGCCTCCTGAGCTCGGCTTGAGCCCACATCAGCTTCCGATTGTACCGGCGTGACCCCCACACCTTGTGGAACAGGCATCGGAGTCACCGGTATAGGCAAGGGTCCGGTGAAGCCCGGAGGAGGGCCTGCTCCGAACGGCCTCATCGTCGTCCACGCCTCATCGAACGGCGCTTGCAAATCTCTCCTAGGAATTCCGTTCGCCATGCTACGAAGCTTCGATAATCTCAGCACACTACTTTTCGAACGAAAGTCCCACAGACGGCGCCAAATGGTAACGCAAAACACTCCGACCGGCTTGAAATCGGCTCGTCTTCCTCCTCCTCGCTGGTAGAACGCCGCGTACCTGCAAAGAACTCATACACCGGGGGGTTTTTCCGGTGAAGAGCCTCCGATGCTTAAGTCAGTGTATATTTTACTCAATTCTCCAAAGTATGTAATGGATAAATCGTAAGTACCTGCCCTAGGAGCTGCCCGGATTTGGTGTGCTGTCCTACCCGCACTGCCCGTCCGTACACACACAGTGTACGTGTGTCAGAGGTGTCAGAGGTGGTTAACGCCACCATCGCTCTGCACCAATGTAGTCTTGCCACGTGTCCCTCTGAGCAGAGGGTGATTATTCTCCTGTGTGTTCCGTTGAGATTTTCTAACAGAGTCCACGCGCTCTCTCGCGTTCAAGCCACGCCCCCGATTGCTCTTCACCTACCGAGTGCTCGATATAACCAAGCCCCCTTTCGCTAGGTCGATCATCGACCATATCTGCTATCTTGCTCGATCACTTCCCTTTTGGCCGATTATTGCTCGACCAATACGATTTTCCCAACGTCGAGCTTCGTGCAATCAACATGGCAAACCGATTTATTCTTTAGGCCTATAATATCCCATATCAGACTAATAAACCAAAGCAAAGAAACAGAACAAATCCAACATAAAGGTAACAGAATTAAGTAGAAAGCTTCTGATGAACATGAAGGAACTCAAGCCAGTCTCATTGTGCTGCCTTAATAACAATGTGAGGTGGGATGAGTGAATGTTTGAAAATCCATGCATTCCGGGTTTTCCAGAGCCACCACAATAAGTATTTTTAAAAAACTTATATTAACTAATTGAATTCTTCCAATTTGATTTTCAAGCAATTCACACAACTCACTTCTTTTTTTTTTTNGAAAAAAGATAAGAAGATACATGAAAATTTACGTTGACAATATAAATTACAAACCATTTAAACTCAGAGAATTACACCATGATTGAAATAAAAAAATAAAAATAATAATTAAAATCCCCAGTCAAAACCATCCAATATATATTTTTTGGTCATGCAAAGCAGTGTTTTAAATACCGTACTGGTGGTTATACCGGTCTAGCCACCAGTACACGGTATTACCGGACTAGCAAATATAATTATATATATAAATATACATAAAATATAATACCAAATGCAAACAAGTAAAATAAATGACTATAATCATTAATTTCAACTTCTCAATGAAATAAAAATAAAACATTTTAAACCAATTTAAATTTTATGTTTTTAATTTAATAAATTTTATTTTTTTGAATTTTTTTATTGGCCTGTATTCTGGACCGGTATTTTTCGGTATTTACGGTATGATCCGGATACAAACTGGTATAACCATAAATTCGGTATTTTGGGTGTAATTGTACCGTACCAATGACCGATATCCAATATAACTGGTCGGTACGATACGGTACGGTATTTAAATCACTGCTGCAAATATTGAAATATATTTGAAAGAACAATTACTTTGCATGAAACAATAATTATGAAAATATAGAAATTTGAATAATATTTTACATTAACCATACAAATTAAACTCCAATTATAGTCAAAAAAAATAAAAATTAAATAAAATCAGACCTATTAAATATATGTAGGTAAGGATGAAACAATAATGAAAATTATATTACGAAAGATAATCAATTACCTAATTTCAATTTGCATATTTTAATGAGATTTCTTATCATTGTTTACATCATACTAAATATTACATTTACTTTTTGTCATCATTTTTTGTTATTACCAAATATTTTGTAATAACCAATGACTACACTAATCAGACCTAATATCTCTATATATATAATTATAGGAAAAATATTTAATAAAACTCTTTTCGTTTTCCTCTATTTTTCATTACATTTTGTAATAATCAAATAAAATATTTTCCATTTATATTTTTACATAATAGCTAATACTAACTAATTATAAAGTCATATTAAATAATTTTTATTCTAAAATTAATTTTTAAACTATTTATTTAAAATAACTATTTAATTTTTTCAACTCATTAAGCAAGTTTTTTGTTAAATTAGTTAATTATTTTTTTATGGCGTAACCGAACCCCTTAAATTTTCTTACACAATTTCCATAATAATAATAATAATTTTAATATTTATTTGTTATCTAATTTTGTCATCATCGGTCAAGACTGCAAAAGTTAGGCCGATCTAGAAAAATTACATTATTGTAATCAATATAAAATTAATATGTAATTTAAATAGTTTTTATTTTTATCGATATTTACAAATGATAAAATTTATAAAATGTAATATGCTCATTATCTAACCTATGATTTTAGATATTATATACAACACATGTAACATATAAATTTTATTTGCATATGTGCATGTGCATAGAATCGCATACTAGTATATAGATGTTGCACTCAAATTATTCAATAATGATATTGAATAATAGAAAATAAAAATTAATAAATATCCTTCACATAAAATGCTCATTTAGCATTACTCTAGAAATGGCAAAATTATATTAGCAGCAAATATCAGCATGATATATGGAGACAACCAATTACCGCGAACACCACCGTTCTCGTTTGAAAACCCCTCAACGGTCAAAATAAATTGATGCTTAAATCATGCAAGTGAAAAGCTCGACCCCAAGTTGAGAACTACACCCTGAACCACAGCAACAGAACATCTGAACACACAAAATTTATTATCTTTTTTCATAGTAATAATATTTCCGTGTGAATGCGCATCCTATACACTCCTATAATAATTTGAAAATAGGTACGGGGCATATATTCATGTGGTCAATGATCTGATGAAAATTATATAGCAGCGTTGTAACTTGTAATTGCCAAGATGAACCAATTTACACCAAGAAAGGTGATTATCAAGAGTCTATGGCTGCTTACGTATGCAAAAGAAATTTATTTAACCGCTACTGCTCTCGATCGGCGTCAATCATGACATCTTCAATTGTGGCAAGGGATTTCAGCTGGCGATCAATTGAGGCAATAGTCTTCTGACACTCAGCAAACTTACTTGCAGCTTCTGCCAATTCTTTATCCTGCACCAACATTTAAAAAATAAATAAAAAAAAAAAAAAAGATTGTAGACATTCATAAAAAATATAGATTGTAAGTAATATCAGAAATTTTTACCCTAGTTAAAACCAGGAAAGGCAAAAGGCTAAGAGCAGAAACCATGCTTGCGTCTTGCATTTTCCACAAAGGTAAGATTATAAGATATTTGATGACATCATCAAATTCATTCCAGTTTAAACCAAAATGTAAGACAAAAATCAAACCTTAACAATGATTTTTAATTTTCAAAATCCGATGGCTTATTTTATTTACTATTTATTTTAATAATTACTAAAAACCTCAAGTGTATTTTATGTAACCATCATAATAAATCATCATTAACAGCGACCAATGATGCACACCAAGAAACCTGGTTAATCCTGAACTCCTCAATGATTGCTGATCTCTGAAACTGAGAATTCGCTTTCACTCTCGATATCTCAGATTCCAACACATTACACCTGCCAACAGTTTCCCGTGAAAACTCCTTTTCTTTCTCAATTTCTTTCTCTAACGTGAAAATGCTCGAGCGCAAGCTTTCCAACTCGTGTTCTGCCACTTCAAGTTGTGAATCAGTTTCTATTTTCTTTACTTTGGCATCCTCGAGTTCTTTTTTCACTCGACTAAATTCATCTTGCGACAAGTTGAGCTGCACCCGGCATGCATCAAGAGCCATCTCCAAACCTACTTTCTCTGCAGTTACTTTCCTGCAATTCTCGTCCAATTCGCTCATGCGCCTAACCACGGCCACCAACTCGCCTCGCAAATTGTTTTCCTGCACGGAGATGCGTGCCTCTTGCATTGCCGCCAGCCTCTCCATGTCAAGAAAATCATCCATCAGACCAATCTCGACCAGGGAGAAAAAATGACGTTTTTGGCCCTGACTGTCTGTTTTGAAGCCTTGGTTCTCGATAGAAAGCGTTCTTTCCCCGCTGTCTGACTGACTGTCCGTGAAGGACTCCATGAAAATTGATGATGCAGTCATCGGCCGATTATTATTATTATTATTATTATTATTATTATTATTATTATTATTATTATTATTATTATTATTATTATTAGACGTTGTTGCCTTGAGACGGCGGCACTCAGCTTCGAGGCGGGAAGCTCTTTTTATACTATCGAGATGCTGTTTGCTGGCAGTTTCAGCTGCAAGAGTGCTGAGATTACACTCGTGGGTCCGCAAATCGAGTTCCTTGGATTTCGAGACGAGTTGTAGCCTCAGGGCTGAGTTGTGTCTCTCTAGAGCTTCAACTGCCGAGCGAATTTTCTCGTCTTGCTCGTCAACTGCCTGACGGAGCTGTCTAAGGCATTCCTTGAGAGCCCCGTCGAGATGAACTATGCGCTCCTCAAGGCTTGTGTTGTTGCGCGTTAGGGACTCGTTTTGTTTCTTCAAGGCCGACACCTCCTTCTCTGCTCTTTCCCATCCTAGAATTCGATATCAAGTAATTAGTGATCAATTTTCCCCCTCTGAAACAAACAAAAAGTGGTCATTTTTCTATTTGAGTCAACGTGATGTCGATCAAAGGCATAAATGGTACTACTCCTTCCGAACGAATCAATAAAGGTAGCTTTTTTTTTTTTTTGTCGTTTTCAATCAATTGCCTCTAGGACGGCTAGTAAGGTCCACTTCTCTGCTCATTTGTTTCTGAATCACTGAATAATTGATCCATAAAAAATATTAAGGTTGTCTATCCAACAACACATGCATTCCCTTCTATTGGCCAAGATGAGTGATTTTATAAATTGACAAACTCAGTATGTGGAGGAGAAAAAAAATTTAATGAGTGCGGTACAGAAAATGCACTATTTTTCCTAATGCAAAACACATACACAGATTTGAAGCCTATGGAGACAAAAAACAGTGATTGAAAGTCGAAGAGCACTTACCCGAAACAGCTTCTTCAGCAACTTTAGCATGTTGCTTAACGAGGTCTTGCTTGTCACGGATATTAACAAGAGCCTGGGACAGTTTCTCTGAGAGAGTCTTTACAGTATCATCAGATTCACCACCTTGTGCAGCTTTACAAGTGACCTCTGGGGATTGAATATTATGAATCGACAGAGCCTGTGCAACAATGATACCTCTGTTTTTAGCTTTACAACGTGTGCCAATACTAATGTACTCGTACAAGGCCAACAAATAATTTCTTATTTCCTCAATTGTGGCAGGATTGTAATCTTAGTAGTTATTTCGTGTACTAGAAAGAACGCTAAGTGGTGAAAATTGCTAGCCACTGATGTATTCCAATATTTAGGGCCTGCTTGTTTACAAATTAATTTACTCACATTTATTTCATACTCAAAATCTAACTCAACTTTAACTCAACTTCACTATCCTTAATATTATTCATATAATAAATAATACAAATCAATCATTCGTATACACCATATCAACTTTAAATCACTATTCATCCACTCACATAATTTTAACTACCAATCATTTATTTTCTACTTTTACATCAAATCAATTTTAATTATTTTTTTAAATATTATTTTAATAGATTCTTAAAATTCCGCTAACAATTAACTATACTCTACCTTTTCCAAAATTAACTATGGTTAACAAAAAAAACTCATTTTAAACGGATTATTTGATAAAAGCGCGCCCTTAGTTTCTGCATTTCTATGAAGCTTTTTTAAACACTGTATAGAGCAATAAGGCAACCAAGTACTTATTCAAACACGATTTCTTATTTTCGTTTTTAACATATATCTTCACAAAAACTGTGTTACAAGTACGCAGCAGATTCAAACTAGAGTAGAAATTCACATATAATCATCAGAAGTTAGTATCCATTAAAATAGTTTTTCATGTTAATTAATTTTTTTTGCCAAAGTCTCAAGGCCATTTACCAGAAAGTAAAGGAACTACCAAAGTAGTTATGCGTTAACATCTCGCACTTAATCCATATTCCACAATAACGGTGTAGTTTACATAGCATAAAAACGAGAACAAGCTGTATGCTGGCAATTCAGAAAATGATGTTTGTTTTCATTTTTTTTTTTTTTAAATTTATGTAAGGAACATATTTTACTATTATAGAGATAGACAAATGCAAATAAGAAAGGAAAAAGAATAAGCACATATTAAAATAACTGGAGGCATTGTAGCTGGAAAGAATGGTTTTCAGAGAGGAAAAAGTAATAGGCTGTTAGCTGTTGTCCAACTACAGCGATATCCACACAATGTGGTCCACATTGATTGAAGATAGAAACCATCGATTGAGGGGAATTCCTGAGCTCAACTTAAATTACAAAGTCGACTTACAACCTTGTACAACATTAAACATTCAGTAAAAAGAAAAATAGGAGCAGATAATAAAAATGTAATAAGATTATGATACAAGTTCCTAAAACAATTGGGCAACATGACAAACAACACAATTGTATCAAGATATGCACGTCTTAACTAATAATCCAAGTGGAGAGTGGAGGTATTTAGATAATAATAACACAAATCCACATTTGCAGGAATGCTAAGACAGACTAAATATTTCATGATAGGAGTTATATCACAAAACATTTTCACCCCTTATAGAATAACTTTTGCTCAAACCTCAATAGAGATATAAACATAGATTTAAGAAGAATGGCAGTGGACTACTCATATANAAAAGCTGCTAATATATGATAAACAGCCAAACATGCGTGTGTGAGTACTATACTTGACCTAATTCTTGTTCCTTGAAATTTCCGTAGTGAAATTTGTCCACCCCATCATTGAAATATAACACGGAAAGCAAGTGAAGGATAAAAGATGATTAATATAAAGAAATTCGAGAAATATATTTCTAGGTGATGTTACATTCCATTTTTCAGAATTCATTTAAAGCAAATAGCCGAAATCAGCAGAATATAGAAAAGATTGGTTACATAAAAATTGTAGAAGAGTACCTGATCATCTGAGAATCTTTCTGAGTGTGACGATACTACTGACTCTGTGCTCTCGGTTTCACCGCTTGGACTTTTCTCTGAAGACTTACGCCTCCAAAGCCAACTCCTCCTGTCCATCTGCTATACTTATTTCATCTTTACCCACCCCAAATCAAAAGCTCTACACCCTTTTTTCTAACACTTTAAACAACTAAATTTTAGCGATGATGTATATCTATATATAAATACATGATTAATTCAACTCAAAGATTTTGAAGGATATGAATGAGTGATGGGAAAAATCAATGAGATGGAGAAAGGCAGAATGGGAATTCAATTCAACTGAAACTATCAACCTTTGCTTACACTCAAATCCATTGCCAACCAACCTCAAATTCATAAGCCCATTCATACCCAAACTTGAACCACAATACATCAGACAACAACTCTGATGGGAACCTTTCGGTTCCCCACCTCTGTCACACACACAGTTAGAAAATGCGGTGAGTTGGATTTTTAGCCCAAGTACAAATGCATAGTATTGAAAATAGTCACATTTTTTAAGTGTTAATTTTTTAATCATTTATTTAATTAAAAAAACAAAAAATAAGTAGACAAAAATAAATAAAAAAAAAAAGTGTGTGGAAAAAAATCAAACAGCCGGATTCTGAGAATTCGTGTTTTAAGGAAACACGGATTCTTAGAATCCGTTTTTCCTTAATTCCGATGGAAAAACAGATTTTCAGAATCCGTCTTTCTTTAATGACGTGATTACCCTTACTTAATTCAATTAAAAACGTGCTATGAAAATCCGTGTTAACTACCACGGATTGTGAAAATCCGTTTTACCCAAGAACACGGATTCTTATTTATTTATTTATTTATTTTGTTATAAACACGGATTCTAAGAATCCGTGTTTATGTATTTATTTATTTATCTATTTTTATTTTTTTTAAGTTAGGCTCGACTCTTGGTTGCTCACGAACTCGTTTACCAGCGATCGCGTTTATTTTGGCTGAATTTTTATTCTTATCCTTCAATATGAAGGTTTTTTTATAAATTTTGATCTAACATTTTGAACACAAAATAATATCACATTAATATCAATTCATTCGTCAAATTATAAATCTAGCATGCATACATACATGAAACACTATATACAAAAAGACAACCACAATTACCGAAAAAAAAATGAACCACAAAATATGTACACAAAACCATCAAGAATAAATATCTGAAAATCCAGTACAAAAAATAAAAAAAAAAAAAATGTCCACAAAATCACAGAATACAAAACAAACTAACTAGGAGTAAATGTTTTCTTAGGCAGGCGTTTTTGGGACCCTCTCCGAGGCCCCGGTACCAAAGAAGACGATCCTGTGGTCGGTCCAGCCGTGGCTGGTTCTTCTTCTTCTTCTTCACCTAATTAATTAATTTTTGTAAAAATCAGTAATTCGACCGGACAAATAAATAAAAACAAACCAAAATATATATATATATATTTGTAGTTAAATAAAAAAACCTCACCTTCTTCGTCTTCTTCATTCCCGGGGAATGCAGCGGCGGGTTCGCGGTCACGGCGTCTTCTCCCTCCACCAATGTGGGGCGCCGGTCTATGCCTCCCCGCTGGGACTGTGTCTGCTGGGGTGGGGCGTACTCCTCTTGAGATAGAATTTGCTCCGACGACAACCCTTGTGTGACCGACTGACCCCCAACAGTCAGAGAAGCGCACAGATGTTCCTGGGCTTGCTGGAACCGTGCCTGCGCTCGGGGAGGTAGCGTATCAATTTCTTCAATGTTCGATAGCATGTTATACGCCCCCTCCATTCCCGAATTCTGAAAATAAAATTCAAATAACTATTATGAAGAGCTAAAATAATAATAATAATAATAATAACTTCAATAATAATAATAATAATAATAATAATAATAAATCACAAATTAGCAGACACTTACCTCACACTTCTCCCAGTCGGCATATGGCTGAAACCTGTCGTCCTGTGAGATCGCCGCGTAGTTGTTAGGGTCATTGAATAGTCTCACAGTCCTACTGTGATATCAATCAATGTACGCCTCTGCCGGCTGCAGGAAGGGATCCACCGGGACATCTGGGAGGACGTTTTGATCTCTCTCTTCGGTCCAGATCCTCCCAAGATCAGCATGGACGGCCCGTCAATCGGTATATGCCCTCCCAGTCATGCCATGGCCTTTGTGGTGGGTGTCCCAGTCGGCCAGACTAGTAATGATCGGTGTCTGGGGGATGGGCTGGTGGCACCCAAACTGGCGGAGCGCCGTATCAGACTGGTGGGGTACTGCGATGTTCCAGCAGAAGATTCACCCCTTGTACATCCAGAGATGTCGGTCTCGTGCACACTGGTCTGGGAGCCGACCCTCGTCTATGTACGTCTGATAGGGTACCCAATCGAACTGTAAAAAAAAAAAACATTTATATAATTATTAATAAATTTAATAAAAAAATATATTAAAAAAAATAATAATTATTTATTATTATGAGCTAAGAAACTTACATCAGTCTCTCTCAGGCCACTCAGCTGATCTCGGATGGTAGCCGTGCCCGTCCCCAGGTGCCTCATGTCCCTCGATCCCACCCACCTTAAAAATCACAGAAAAAACTATTTGTAACTACAAAATTTGATAATTGAAATAACTTAACTGTTGAATATAAATAAAGGTTATTATTACCTTGCACCCAAGGGACAACCAGCCTGAGAGCCGAAATGCGTTTTTCTCATGAATGGGCGAATACGAGGGATGCGTTCCCATGCCCAAACCTGCACATATGGACATGGTTAATCTTTTAGCACATATTATTGTAATTTATTATTGACGGACGTTTCCGGTCAACGGTTAACAAGTTAAATAATGAAAAGATAACCGGAAAAAGATGAAGAGTTATGGTTTAATTACGATTTTATTAAGAGATCACGAGGTCGGCACTTGCGATACACTTACAGTTTCTTACACGGGTTTTTTACAAGTCTAGAGAGAGAAAATATAGAAAGAGCTTTTACAGTTGGGATTCAACAACCCAAAAATAAATGTGGGGGTTGCTATTTATAGTGGTCTTTAATGCGGTACTGTTCAGGTACTGTTCACCAATCTTGTCGCACAGTAGTTCGGCGGGATAAGCCGGCGTTTCTCTGACTGATTTGGAGTAATTTCGGGATCTCCCAATCATTACCTGCAATGCATTTAATGTTGGTATGGACAACATTTAATGCGGATATGCTCTTGGACCGGGCTAGATGCTCTAGACCTGCTGGCTAGCTTGGGGTGTCCCATCGGTGATCATTGGTTGACAAGTGGTCATATTTTATTATTTTATGAACATGTAATTCCTTCAAGGGCCGACCTGGCGTGGTGCCGGGCTGTACCAGGAAGGCTTGTCCTTCGACGTCTGTGGCTTTTAGTCAACTTCAGCACCAAACTGGGTCGGCATCGGGACGGGGGTGTAATGGAGTCGACCCTTCTGACAGGGGGTCGAGGTGCCGACCTTGCACGGAAAGGGGTGAGATGCCGACGCCGGGTTCACCCTTGTCGTCATTCTCGTCAACTCTGACTTTCACTCGGATCGGCACCTACGGATGGTTTCGGTGGCCGGCTCTTCCGATCCGACCGATTACCGTCCGATTGCCGATATCTCAGACCGGCCTTTTCATAAGAGCCGAACTCGGGTATCAACATACAGGCCCCCGGGCTCGGGTGAGGCCTGTTGTGCCTTTCCCGAGGCCGTCCTTTACTGGTTGGGTCCGAGCCGGCCTCATGGGATTCGTATCTGTCCATTCCTTGAGGTCGACACCTTCGTTTCACTTGGGCAATTTCAAAGGCTGCGGTCGAAAGGACACGCATTTAGTGCGCCCATGCATGTGCGACACGTGGCAGCACCCTGGCCAAGCATTTCGAAAGGATGTGACTGTTGGCTTCCTTCGGACGTTTCGGTTTCTTCCGTTTCGAATATTGAATTTCAAAAAGCCTGTACACATGTCCGGGCATGATTGGTCCCATGACCTTATATATATCTCTTCCTTGGGATATTCATAGCTTTCTCTACTTTTGATATCTTCAATTTTCGAGCATTCCAAGAGCAGCGCATACTCAGATCTGATCTCGAAGGTTTTCTGGTGACTGTCTCCCGTAATTCTCCGGTAATTCTCGCCTTTTTTCTTCTTATCTCTCCGTTTTCCTTTTCGTTTTCCTTTTGGGATCGCGATGTCTTCTTCTCCGAGATCTACGGGTAACGACGGCGACTTCACCGGCGAGGGCGGCGATCTTTCCCGGCAGGCGGATGTCATCCTCACCGCCGTCCCCATTTCTGTGGTTCGGCCAGATTTTTTGGCGGTGGAGACCGCCTCTGGTGGCGGAGGTGACGACCCCAGTGTCCCTTCACCGCCGCTGCGCGAGGGTGACGGTGCCGATCTGGATCAGCCTGCCGCTGCCGACGTTGACTCGGTTGATCTTGATTTTCTGGATACTGACTCCGGCGTCGATCCGGACCTGGTCGACGAGACTCTCCGGGGGGATACCAGCGGTCGAGAGCGCGTTCCTATGGGGGACGCGTCGATAGATGCCGCCCTCGAGGCGGTGACTACCGTCCCGCCCGGGTTTTGGCGCCGACCCGAGTGAGTTTGGGCGACGTCGAGCCAGATGTCGGCGTGGAACACTGCGTCGGTCTTGGACGATGCCGATCTGGCCCAACTGAGGGGGAAGTATAACTTCGGACCCGGGGTCCAGATATTTGCGCCTTACCCCGGGGAGCGAATCCACTGTCTGTCGCCGGGCTGCATAGGAGTTTATCGGCACAGCATCCACCTAGGCCTTCGCTTTCCCCTGTCCGGCGCGCTCAACGATATCCTCAGCGAGCTTGGGATCGGCATCAGTCAGTATGTGCCGACGGTATTCGCTCGGCTCGTGAGCTTGATCGTGATGTTCCGCCGCGAAGGCTGGCCCGATCCCATGGGCGCCGAGGTGAAAGCGTTATTTTCTTTCCGGCGCTCCGGTGACACGGGCAATTATTACAGCTCGGTGTTGCCGGGCATTGATAAGTCATTGGTGGCCAAGCTGCCGGAGACCCTCCACGGGTATATGCCGAGGTGGTTCTGGGTCGGCGGCGAGTGGAGGACCCAGGATGCGACTCGGCACGCGCCGACAAGTTTCATTTCCCACACTCGTAAGCTTTTTCCTTTTTTCTCTTTCGTTCTTTACTGATTTCTCTTTTTTGTTCTAACAGGTCATAATTTACGTTTTCAGTCCACAGCACGAGCCCGGCACCCAGTTCTAGTCTCGCTGCTCGGATCGACACTTTGTTGAGGCTCAATCCCGAGAGGCGACATTACTCAGCGCTCACTAAGGAAGAGACCCTCCTCGACCACAACTTGAGTCCCGAGGTCATCGACAGGTCATTCAAGCCAGGTATGACTTTTACTCCTGCTCGGCATCTAAGCGTTACTCGGCATCTAATCGTTCATCGGTATCTAATTTAAGCGTTACTCCTTCGCAGTCTATTA